AAATACCTTGGTACTGAAGTCTAAATTGAAATATGGAATCTAAATTAGAAAAATTCTCATAACTTATTTTAATACTTTGACTAAATAACATCAGGTGAGTTTGTTTTTTATTCGTTTATTTCATTATTTATATTCGAATTAATGCCATCATTTTATTATTATAACAGGGTTTCGACCGTTGTGACCTCTGGTTTTCTTCAAGTGTCTATCTATCCGGGTAACCTTCAGGAAAGTTCAAACTGAACCCGTTATATAGTCTACAGGAGCAGATTTTACTTGTATTGTCCGTATATAAGGATATCTTGTCTTGTTATTTAGTACTTCTCAGTTAAATTACGCCGCTTCCACTGAGTGTGCTACCCAGTCCATGGATTGAACTTAACAATATGTTACCAAATTCATGAACCAATGCTTTAATCCGAGAGTATTGTCCTTTATTTTCCACATAGAAAATGTGACCCTTGCATCACTCAATGAAAATCAGTATATCGCAGATTTTTGTAAATGGATATCTTATTTTCTTAACAAAGAATTTTATTTTGAAATAAACCTCTTCTTATTTTATGTTAAATATGTGATCTCGGTGACTTTGAACCAAAAACTGAAATTCTCATCGTGTAGTTAAAGGTTTCATCTTTAAGCTTTAATGTTAAAAAGACTTTAGCTTATATTTCTTTGTTGAATCTGAGTTTTTCTTCTTTCAACTGATTCATTTTAATCTTGTATCACCAACTGTAAAATAGAGCTTCAGACTTCATAAACCCCGGTCTAGTTCCCAAGCTTCACCCGCAAGTGCTTTAATTTGTCAATGTTAAGGATCTTTGGTCACGACATTAGCGTACTTCGTAAACAGAACTTTATTATCTGTCGAATGGCAAACTCTTCATGATTTAATCCATGTCAAACGGGGGATGTAGGATAAGGCTAAAAAATGACAGTCCGTTCAAAATACAAGAGAAATATACAATTAAAATGTCTGCCTGCGAAATATTGTGTATAATTATAGGAATATAGCTCCATACACGGCAACGTGTGACATATGGGCACAATGTAAGGATTAGATGGACACGCCGATTACGCGTTTATAATAACCATGTAGCCAATAATGCAAGAGAAGATAATACACAAAAAGAGGTTTCTGACACTAGAGGTCACTACACCATGTATATTCTGCTGGTTACCAGCCATTAAATGTCGACAAAAGTGATATAACCAAGATTGTATTTCAATCATGTTTATTCATTTTGCGCAATATCTTCAAAACATTGTTTTTGTTTGTTTCGGATTTTCAGTAATCAAATGTTATTAGACACTTTAATTCTATTTCATTATCTAGATTAGTAACTCCTGTTCAGAAAACAACAACGTCTACGGTCGCATATTTCGCATACTATGGAAAAGTTGCACTGAACGACTTTTTCTCGTCGCTTTGTATGGAAATATATTGTTTAAGTTTAAGCAAAGAAAAATAGCTTTTTGTTTTTTGGTTTACAGGCCCATGGGCAGTTAATTTAGACATTTTCTAGCTGTTTTCCTTTAAGGTACTAAGTATACTGGCTTAGAATTGCTTGTTATATATATATATATATATATATATATATATATATATATATATATATATATATATATATATATATATTAAATGTATTATATCTATTTACATTAGTTTTAAAACTTTCAAGTCCACGAATTAATTTCTTCGTGGCTGTAGAAACTTTTCCAAACTTTTCTTTCAAATAATTTTTATTTTCCCAAGTCTCTTCAATCTCAACTGAGACCATCTTCAGGGATTGCATTTTTTTTTACCTCTATGCACTTATGTGATTTTTTTTAAAGAGTTTTTAACTGTAGTATTTTAATTTAGCATTTTTTATATAACACTTTTGCTGATACAAACATTTAAGAACTTTGTTGCTATACTCGTTGACATTATAGGCATTTGGGATATGATAGAACGGAGAGGGAAGTTAGATTTATGTAATTTTATGCTTCCATACATGTATCTTGTAATCGCCAATGATTTTAGGAACTGTTATCTAGTCTTATTGGCTGTGATAAGTTTGTTGATTTTCGATTTTAATTTAGTATTTTTTATATAACACTTTTGCTGATACAAATATTTAAGAACTTTGTTGCTATATTCGTAGTTGACATTATTTATTTGGGGCTGCAATTCTCTTCCAGAATCTTAAGTTTTTGCTTATTATTATCTTGTGGAATCTCTGATGTAATTTCGACTAATATCCGTCTAAACTGTGAATGTGGATATCAGTGTTCCTTTAAATGTTCAGAGATTGAACTATAATCGTTCAAGTGCATCGCAAACTTTCTCATCATCGTGGTCGTTGCAAAACCAACATAGGCATTAACATTTTTATCATAGATGCAATCTCCCAAAGAACATTTAAATTGATATACGATGTTGCTTTTTTTGTAAGACGCTAGTTGACGGAAAAGAGTTGTTATGGATGACTAGGTTTGTTGCATTAAATTTAATATAGTATAGAATTAATTTTATCAGTGGGGGATATATTAGTGTTTATGAGTATTTTTTAGAATTTTTTCCTCCTGCTTATTGTTAGAATGCGTTTGATTACGGTATAGTAGTTTGATGTTTAGGGTTGAGGACGTATTATATTCATTTTTATCTATGTTAATATTCCTAATAGCTCGTCTAATTTATTCATCAACGATGTAATTAGAAAAGTCATTATTAATGAGGATTTGTTTAATATATTTAATCTCTTGTTGAAGAGATTGCTTTTGCACGGTTTGTTAAGTTTCGTATAATAGCTATTTTGTAATAGGACATTCACTTTTATATTTGAGAGTGCACGTGTTTATACTAGTTGTTTTTTTTATATGGGAAGATAGTAAATGTATTATTGTTAGTTTCTGTCAATACATCAAGAAACGAGATTTTATAGTCGTTGTTAAGTTCGTATGCGAAATTAAGTGCAGAGTTTTTTAAGTTTTTTTTTTTTTTTACTAAAATGAAAATGTCATCTATATATCTTAAGTAAATGAGGGAATTTTGTGGTATTAAGCACGTTATTTTCTGGCTTAGTCATGTACAAGTTGATAAATGTTTGTCCCAGGACGGAACACAAACAACGTTGCATTGTGCGTATACGTTATTTTGATGGTCATCGAAAGGAACTTCTGCGGTGTACATAAAGAGTAGTTTTTAAAGTATTAGGACTAATTCGTAATGAAGGCAGCGATGGATTGTTGTAGATATTCTTCATGATTATATCTATTGTTATCCCGACTGGGACGTTGGTGAATAAACTTTCAACGTCAAGACTATGGTTTCATTATATGGTTTGTGTATTTTTAGAATTTGGAGTAGTTCGTGTATGATTTAATACTGTATTTATTGGGTATATATGGTGTAATTTTTTTATTAATAACTTTGGTTAGTTGGTAAACAGGATTAGGGATTTGGAATATGATAGAACGGAGAGGGAAGTTAGATTTATGTAATTTTATACTTCCATACATGTATCTTCATTTGTAATCGCTAATTGTTCTAGGAACTTTTAAGTTATCTAGTCTTGCGTTATTGGCTGTGATAAGTTTGTTGATTTTCGATTTTAGTTGGTTAATCGTATATTTGCCAACTTTTTAAAATTTGGTGGTTTGTTAGTTCATAGTTGGAAATGTTTATAAATTTGTCATTATTCTTTGGAAGATGTATGGTTCCTTTGTACAATGTATTAAGTTTTTTTTTTTTTTGATATTCAGACGGCGTTGCATTTCCGACTTGTTAGCTATTTCTGTAAGTCTATATATAATTTCCCTGGGCTGTTCAGGAGTAGTAGTCGATTCTATATACGTTATACCGGTGAACAGATCTGTAGTTATATATGCATAATATATATGCACACATACATAAACACACACACGCACACACACACACACACACACACACACACACACACACACACACACACACATATATATATATATATATATATATATATAGTTTATGAAAAACTAGGTAATCCGTATGGGTAAACCCAAGGTGGATAAAATCCAGAGAGCTCAATGTAAATCCAGAGCAAATAATTTAAATAAAAACAGACCACTTTAAGGTTCCATGTAATAAATTATTTCACCACCACAGCCCTTTTAAAGGCCCGCGGATCATCAGACTTTACTTCCAAAGGATGAAACAACCTTTGGAGGTAAAGTCTGATGATCCGCAGTCCTTTAAAAAGGGCCGTGGTGAAATAATTTATTACATGGAACTAAAAGTGGTCTGTTGTTTTTATTTTATATATATATATATATATATATATATATATATATATATATATAATCTCCGATTCTACTCCTTGAACAATGTAGATGTTGACCCCTTTCGAAAGTGCCTTTTTCGGACGTTCAAAACATAACGTTCAAAAACCAGCTACAGACGTGTTTATATGACGATCTTAATTCTGAGCTTGAGTCGAGTTCAATTGTCAACTCATACAACTTGTAGAGGTGTTAGTCGCTGCTTGGGTACTTCAAGGTGTCTCAATTTCTTAGCTATTATATTAAAAAAAAACTTGAGAAACCTATTTTCATGAAGAATTTCTTTTAAATTATATATTTCAAATGAAAGTAGCATTGGCTTCCCAGTCAATGAATGCCGAATAGTTCTTTATGATAAAGCTGCTAATATTATCAATAATGTTACCATTTGGAAAATAAAAAAAAACATATCAACAAAAGCAATAAGTCTAAGAACTGGCTATTTTCCAAATGTAACCACCAACACACACGCTCTATATATCCCTGGCATCAAACAATCCTATTAAATGGTGTTCCAGAGACTCTCAACGTTTACCCTGTGTGGAAGTTTTAATAAATAGCTTTTATGTTAATAAAAAACAGATTTTAAACCATTTTCACACAATATTTTTAATATTTCACCTACAGGCAAGATTCATTTCCTTTTTCTTTTTTTTTTCTTCTTTTTTTTTGTCGGACGTATAAGCTTCCTGGGAAAGTTATTGCTCTTTTTTCTTCAGTGCAAGGGAAACAAGTTTCACCAAGTTGAGGACTTCTTCGGTGGCACATTCGATAGCTGCCTTCTGTGATCCCTTTTCACATGTTGCACTCAAACCCGTCTGGGATTCGGTGGCTTTCGCTTTGCATTTCTGGAAATCAACGACTGAGAGAAGAGAAAAAAAAAAAAAAAAAAAGAAATCTACATGAGAAATGCTTAAAAGAAAAATTCCCGCTTGTCATCATTTTTTAAAAGAATTTTAAGTTTAAAAAGCAAACACGTTAAATGATATACGTATCTAAATTTACTTTAAAACTGAACAACAATATCAACTTTTAATAAAAAAATAAAGTCAACAGTCACAAATTCACAGAACCACAAATCTACCCTTCCCTCGATCGATTTTCTCCGCCTCCCCAATTGTTCACTGCTACTGATTTAAATGCGTTAAAAATGCGAAGACAGCACATCCAGATAATTCCATCAACTTCGTAGGAAACCTATCTGTTTATGTTGTAAACGACAGGAATGAATCTGCATCGGTTTTTCTTCGTTTCATGGAGCTAATGGCATCAGCAGGCGCACGCTCTCAGACTTTTTGAAGGAAGGTGGATTTCTTCTGTACACAGATTTACTTCGTTTCCATATGATCACTTATCAGCGTTTAAGAGAAGAATTATAGATAATTAATTGTAGGTAACTGAATAACAAAATGATAAAAAACAAAAAACAGATAACGCGTTTCGGCCTTCAAAAAGATTTCATCAGACTAAAATGATCTTCTGATTGGCGGATTGGGAGATGGATAAAAAATATAGCAAAAACGACGCTAATCTTTAAATTTTAAATTACTGTCGTCCGCCGTATCTAGACGTACAGCATAGCTAATTTCATTCAGCTTCTCTAGTTTTTTTTTATCTTTATCGCAGTTGTTTTTAAATATACCGCAAAGTGGTAGCAGTAGATCTATACATTTTCGCCTTAGTAAATTACTTTCCCTTTTAATTAAGCCTGCATTCTTTTAGTTGAAATTATAGTCAGATTCATTATATGTTGTTTTGCAAATATCCCTTTTGTCTTAATATATTCTTTTATTTCAGGAGGTACGGATTGAGGAATCGGAGAGCCGAGTTCGAATTCCAGTCGGATCCATTACATTCATTTACGTGTCAATAAACTTGGGAAAGATATGAATCCTCTTCTTTACCAGCTATGGGTAAGTAGCAGGACAGACTGGGTTGCATAACCTTGGGTGGCAACCGCTCTAGGAGAAGGAAAAACTCTGAATCCAAAACCGGTCTGGAGATGGTTGGACTCCTTCCAGGCCCAAGTAACACCAGTTCTACTGTGGCTGTCACGGGATAAAAAATTTCTCTTATTTAAATTCCTAGATGTCTCACCTGATATTTCCTGTGACATTTATTTCAGTATATAAGTTCCTGCTTCAGGTTCTTGATATCTTGTTTAGTTTTGTGTAAATTAAATCTTGAACACGTGACGCGTACTCGACCAATGAAAACAAAACATCATAGAATTTAACATTCGAAACAATTTTCGACTTCCAAAAGCTTTCCATTGAAACTAACTAAATAGCAAAACATTTTAAATTTATAAATATTTTCCTAGTTGCTTCTTTATTTAATCATTCTCATGGGTATTAAGGATATATATATATATATATATATATATATATATATATATATATATATGTTGAGTGATATGCATATAACTCCTTTTAAAAGTGAACATTTCATGCTAGACGCAATGGCCGACGACTGCGTCTAGCATTAAACAGTCTGTCGCCTCTGAGTGTTGACTTCAGTGTTCACTTTTACATTTACATACGCTCTATTTCTGATATTGAGCACTTTATCCCATAAATATAGCACACCAGAAAACTATATTTCTTCATATATATATATATATATATATATATATATATATATCCTACTACCCACCATATATATATTTCTCTCTCTTCTTTGTTTATATATATAAACAGGGTGTCTACTTAAACAAAATAGCCTTTGTAGTAGTCGGAAATAATGTGTCGGAAAAATACATTGATTCCTTAAAAATTATCCATAAATATGCCATGTGTTAAAAGCTATATTTTTATCACATACATACGCACACAAGCAAATATGCACACAAGCAACACACACACACACACACACACACATATATATATATATATATATATATATATATATATATATATATATATATATATATATATATCAGCGAACGATTATTACGTTAGCGCTCCGGCCATAAGACGCAGTTTAGAATTCCATCATGCTCAATTTTGTTTATTATTCGAACAAAATATTTGTAAATGTTTATTTTATTCATGTTATGAATTCCACAAGAACTGTTTTCAGCGGATTTGGCACCTGTAATTCTTTTTATGTGTCAGACAGGCACTTAACGCCTATTTACGATTACTTGTCGTTTCACTTGAAAATATAAGATGTTATCATAACTTGCTTAGAACTTATTACATGCGATGATTACAATGAAAGCAAAACGTAGCCCACAAAATGAAAACTCGTATGAAGGCATTTACATTTGTCTACTTACTCAGAAGTCGTTTCCCAAGCAACCGGCATCGTTCAGCGACGAAATGGATGCTGAAAGGAGTGTTTGGGACTTCAATCTGAAATAAATTGTGATTTGTCTAAGAAAACAGTTCAAAATTCGACCAACAAACAAAGCGATTGACTCTTTAACCTTTAGCACTCTACATTATTCATTAGTATTACTTTTCCCACTATATATGGTGTCTCCTCAAATACGAACTGCAGTATCCTTGATCTCGAGTCAAAGCTGTTTTTTTTTTTGTTTTTTTGTTTTGCTGTTGCTATAGCAGGATGTGACAACACAATCGGGAAATTTAAATATACTGTTATTTGGCGATTGGAGTAAACTGCAATGGCAGAACAAATACTTTCCTTGGTGACTGAAGTTGCCTAAAGAGTGTTTAAGGTTAAATAATTACATTGTTCAAATAGAAACCTCGAACGAAACGCTGATCTCATAAATTAACAACAAACAAATCAAATGCTGAGGTATTTTTGAACGTTTATCGCATGAACAGATTTCTGAAGAATTCAGCGAGGAATGTTAGCTCTGAATTCCTTGCGTTAGTAGCGTTAAGGTTATAGTCCAGCCTATTTGTATTGAAAAATAAATTTGTTTGAATTAAAATATATTAATTCCTTACATTCTTCATATAATGAAGAAAGAGGGCTTGGAAAATTTAACACTCATATTGACGGTAAGCAAGAAAAGTACGATGAAACAGCGAGTAATCAGCTTAACAGGTTTGCGTGACTGTATAGAGGAACAAGAACAAATAGGAAGGTTAAACGATTAAAAGGTATTTAGAGCAACGAAAGACAGGAAATTGTGGAGAGCCATGATCACCCATTTCCTTAACGGACATGATACAAGGGCGGATGAATGAAAGGTATCAAACTAACAGCTTCTTTTATCAGTGCGCCAACCTTTTTCTATATTTATATATATATTTATACTTTCGCTAAAATAGTTCATTTGTTATTTAGTATAGGATTTATTTATAAGAAAATAAAAGGTACAGTCGTGTAGGATGGTATGGTCTTGGTAGCACACAACCTTTATATACCATCGCCTTTGGAGAGGTAACGCCACTCTCAGCACCAAAGAACTGAAATTTGACCAAACAAGAGGTTACCATTGTTCGTGAGATAAACGTACTCGTACTTCGAGAAAAATAATTTCTATGCAATATTTTCTGACATATAACGATAGCCATGTAATTTATGAACTTATATCCTTATTTAAAAATAATTCTTTCTCAACAAAACTTTGGATTTACAGTGGACAAAGTGTTAACAATACGAAAATAGCATTGGCAAGCTGAGATCAAAAACCGGCTGAGTTTACTTGGGAAAGTCATGTAACCTCTATCTTTAGTTATTATATAAATAATAGGACAGACTCGGCTCTCTAGATGTAGTCGGCAACCACTCTAGAAGGACAAGTTTGAATTCAAAAGACAACAGGAAACCACTCCATTATTTTTCACAAAAATAATCGTAGTACATTTTCCATATATTAAAAAGTAAAAGAAGCTATGGAGATCCATTATCGTCTAAGGCCGTGACGGGACATCTTAAAAATGAAAAAGGATTATGAAAAGTAAAATCATATAAATTTTATAAGGTGATATCAATTGGTTACCTCGCTTTTGAACTAATTGAGAGTAAACTAACCTAGTAAAGTAAACTATTTTATTGATCATCATGAAGTTCCGCATATATGTGGAAGTAATATTTAATATTTTGCAAGTATCCAGATATTTCATTCTCACATTGTGTTTTACCAGTTTGTTCATATCAAATTATCTTTTTCTGTTTTTCTTAGTCTGTTCTTGTTTTGAGTCCTTTGTTTTATTAATTACAGTGTTAGCTATCTATCTATCTATCTATCTATCTATCTATCTAGCAAGTATTTCTAAAAACGAATTAGCTTCTCATTGGAGAAACTAAATAACTTTTCAATATTTTTTAAAAGCTTATATTTAGATATCAATGAATGTGTAATATGTGTATTGTTTCTTGTACAAATACTGTATTCTCATTTTCCATTTACCTTTAAAATAGCCGAAATGCAAATGACCAGAAAAATACTTACATCACCTTCTTTGTCTTGGAAGAAAGCTAAGAGCCCATCAATGTGCGCTTTGACTAAACCAACTTGCTTGTTAAGGACTGGTATAGCTACATTTCTCAACATTCCAATAGCTTTCTGGTTGAGACCCGATATTATGGCTCCAATGTTGACCCCCTCGGCATTGACGGTAATCGTCGTGGTGAGCAGAAGTGTAAGAACTGAAATAAGATTTTTTTAATTACAGTGTAACCCGGATATAAGAGACCCGGATATAAGAGAAATCCGGATATAAGAGAAATCCGGATATAAGAGAAACCCGGATATAAGAGAAACCCAGATATAAGATAGATTTTCTCTGATCCCAAATTAGAGCCATACTTACCTCAACAAAATAGACCAAACCCGGATATAAGAGAAACCCGGATATAAGAGACTTCTTCTCCGGTCCCGATAACTCTCTTATATCCGAGTTACACCGTACTAACCTCCAACAAAAAAAAAAAAAGAGAAGTTACTGCCAAAGAGAAAGAAAAGAGTCGCATTTGTTCTGTACAACTTTGTGTAAGATGAGTAATGAATAATGAGTTACATAACGGACCTGTGCGTGAGGATTTTATAGTGAGAAGATTGTGGCTTGGAAAGTCCTGATCCAGTGGCACGTGGAGCCGCTACGACGGGAGACTGCCAGGTTGCAGTGGATGACCAGGACTCCTTTAGCTGTCACGTCCATGCTCTAGAGCGCCCTACGACACTTGATGCCACCGCATTCACAACTTATTAATAATCAGTATTAATTAATCATTGATATCTAAAGAAGACTAACACGAAACAAAAAACAGTATATAAAAAAACAACAACAAAGTAACGAAATAAAAACCAGCCTGATTTACTAATGAGATATTTCGTTGTTATTATAACACGTTTACTTATTCTATCGATTAATTCCTCTTGTTGCCATCACAGAGAAATATCTCTTTACTAGGAAGTGGATTAAGTTACATAGCAGATAAATATCTGAAGTAAAAATTTATATTATATAATAGATTATTAGTTGACGTTAAGGTTGACTATAGTAGTAACAGCTTTTTTTTTTTTTTTGCTGCTATTGCCTGGGCATCTCATTATGGGTAAGTAGTTTACTCAAGTGTTCATTCACTCACTTTCTTCTTCAAAAACTATCGGGACATGCTAGCAAAAAGTGATTTGTCAAGATATATAGTGATAGAACAACATAAAAATAGAAATGACGAACAACTAAAGTGATGTTATGGAATAACCAGTCACCCCCATGAATGATTACACCATAGGTAGCAAGTACCTATAAAAGTCAACCGTCTACGAGAGATGCAGGAGGGAGTGTAAGAGCGAGACGACTTCTTCAATTAGTGGCACTCACTACTAGATTGACCTGTGTGTATAACTGTACCGTATTTTATATTGTACTAGTTGTGTACGATAAACCTTTCTCCTAGTATCCACCAGGTGTTATGTGTTTATTCCCTTAGCACGGAATATAACATAAAGGTAATTTATAAAAGAAGAAAAAAGCTTGAATAAAGAAATGGTAATAAAAGATGAACGAAATTCTATGAAAAAGAAAATTATTATACGAAAAATAAGAGAAACGTGAAAAGAGATTGGGAGAAAAAGCGTTCATCGAAGAAAAAAGAATTGGTAAAAAGAGGAAAGAATTGGTAAAAAGAGGAAAGAAAAAAGGGCCCGCTCTGAAATATTGACAGCAGAAAAATAGTGTATCAAAAGTATTTACGTTTTACGGGTCTTTATTCCAAAGGTTTATCATCTAATATAAGAAACGGAAAAAACTAATATGGCTGCCTTAAAACGTTTTTGGCTTGTAAGAAAGAAACAAAAATAAAAATTAAAGACAGAAAAAAGATTAAAAAGGGTTTGTATCTGAACGCCTAAGTGGTCATGTTTGCTACAAAGCAATTAAACAAGTCCAAGTAAGTTTCCATGAAATGGCATAAATAAATATCTTAACAATGAAACTTACCAAGAAGCTTCAACATCTTTGGTTTGCTGGATGCGACGCTGACACTGAATCTCATTGACGAAGGTATTTATATTTAGTGCTTCACTGTGCTTATCTCACCCTGGAGAATCAGGTGATAAAAGCTAACCATCTGTTTATTCCCTAGGTCCACTTTTTAACATTTACTCGCAAACTGTCAAAAAGTTTGCCAGTACTTTGATAAGTACGATGCGTGAAAGTTTTAAGTTATATTTATGTCTCTGAATTGAAAAACTGGCTGTTTACATCATCATAAACTATCAATAAAAACAAAATTACATATTTCTTTTAATTACATGCTATTATATAAAAGATTTTAATTGAAATAAGGTTAATTTATCTTTCTGGCAATTTAAAAATATGAAAGATAAAAAAAGTATTCCAAATAAAATTATTGTAGTAAAATTATATGTGTATTTGTTTTTGTTAATATTCACTATATATATATATGTATGTATATATGTACTTCCACTGATTTGCTAAAAATTAGCATACCATTATAAAAAGTGTCCCAAACTTAATTTATGCTATTATTAAGAGGAAAGATCAAAGGATTCTTTGATTATTAAATTATATTTTTGATTCGTTTTAGAACTTTGAAAATTTTAGTTTAAAATCTTGTTTTTTTGGGGGGGTGGGGAGTGCATCAGCAGCAGAGCCAAATATTAGTATAGCATTTTTTTGGCGCAGAAAAATACATTGATTTGAAAATTCTTGAAAAAATCAAATAATTGTCGAATTCTAATTAATCTTGCAGTACTTATCCACAAATGAAATAAATTATTTGGGAAATGTTTTTTTTTTTTTTTTTTTTAATATTGATAAAAAATATTTATCCTCTGTTACCCCTTATTTATTTAATTTTATGAAATTTCGAGAAATTTTGTCCCGTTTGATGTTTATATCAGTTAAAAGCAGGAGTTATTGGAGAATTTAAACCATCAATTTTTTTTTGTAAAACAGGATCACAAGTTATCGAAAATCTGCAGTGTATTATAAACTAAAAATACAATAAAACCAAGACATTGTTTAATTACGTCATATTATTCTTAAGTAAAAACTATATTTACTAACCATGAGTGGAAAAGCTTATTAAAACTTAACGATTCCCAATATTTTAAAAAGAATTTTGAATTTTTTTTGTACGCGTATAAACGCGCCGATTTATGATACGAATGTCTATAAACGGAATTATCAGAAACTAAGAGCGATAGCTATAGTAAATTTAAAGCCAAAGTACCTAAAATTCAATAAAACATTAGATTATGCAGAATATTTTCCTAAATTTTAAAGATTACTGAGTAGTAAAGAATTATATAAAGACACTCGCGTTATATTCCTTAAGTAATTTTTACAGATATGTTCACCGTAAAAAAAAAACTTAGATAAATTTCCGTCTGTCAGTCAAGCTGTCAACACCTTAAATAAACAGCTACCGCAGTGTTAAAAATGCATTTCTCTGATATTTTAAATTTAAAGAAAGTAATATTTGTTTAAAACCAGATTAATTAAATTTTAAATCATCTAATATTACTCAAATAATGTTTCAGAAGAGGATATTTTGTTTTTAAAAGATTTTTTTAATGAAAAGAATTAAATCGTGATGACGGACAGCTAAAAATGGCACTAAAATTGGCAGTTTTAGCAATTTCAAAACAAAAAATACTGCTAGTTAATTTAAAATAACTTTTGAGAAAACAGAAAAAGCATTTTACTTATTGAAAATATTGCATTTAATATATTAGCTTGAAATTAAAACTAAAATAAAAGGTTCAAAAAGATTTTTATTTCTTAAAAATTGATTTGAGATCTTAGGTATCGTGTTTCTGTAGAGGTACATACATACATACATATATATATATATATATATATATATATATATATATATAAAAATTAAAAAAGATCCCACAAAAACAGAGAATGTCTCATATCGAAAATATTTAACATTGAAAAACATAAGGAAAAAATTAATTAATTATTTTTAATATGTGGAAATCTCCGCTTTTACCTGAAGACGGTCACGAGACCAGAAACACGTGTAGTAAAATTATGGAAAATAAAAGCATAATATTTTTTCTAAAAAAAACACATTACAACCAAAAACGTTTATGGCACCTTTTTTTTTTAATATACATACTTTTCTCTCGTTGGAACCACTACAACCTCTTTCTGTTTATATATTATATATATATATATATATATATATATATATATATATATATATATATATATATATATGTGTGTGTGTGTGTGTGTGTGTGAGTGAGGGAAATATATATATAGAGATAGATAGATAGATAGATAGATAGATAGATAGATAGATAGATTAGAAATAAAACGGAATGTTTATTTAGTCTCGACTAAATTTCGCAGCGATGTATCTTCTCATGGCTGATTGATAATGAAATCGAATTTATTTAGAGAAATATTTTTAAAGGAATTTCCTTTAAGAAAATATGATTTCTAAATTTTAAATTTTCTTTTAAAAGAAGTCTTTTAAGAAAAATGTGATTTCTCTAAATAAATTCAGTTTTACTACCATGCCACCTGACGATTGAATATATCTCCGTGAAACTCAAATTTGGAACGGAGAAGTAAACGATCAGTTTTTTTCTTCGTTAACTATTAATTCTCTATCCCTTAATACTGAGCTATTTAATTACATAGAACGTTTGCTTTAAAGCTTTATCTTACAGAAATAATCTTTATAATAATAATTTATTTTACTTTATCTTACGGAAATAATCTTGTCGGCGTTTATCTTTTATTATCAGTATTTTTTGCGAAACACAATCTATGTTATTGTTAATAGATAGATAGATAGATAGATAGATAGATAGATAGATAGATAGATAGATAGATGCATTTAAAAAATTAAAAAATAACCCTCCATAAAAATAGCGATACTTTAAATGTAAGATGCAATTATAACCTACGATGCTTTAAAGAGGTAATGAAATGTAGTTTACGAACAAGTATATAGTGGTCTTATAACAGTATTATTTCATTACAGCTAAAAACAGAAAACTTTTCCTTTCTTTACTGCCAAAATCTGTGTGATAATAGAATCAGTGTTCACTTACCCACTAGAGAAGGAGTAGGACTTTTGATTCCCAATACAAACCAATCAAACCAGTCTACGAATTTAATTTCAAATTACGCAATTTAATCCTCAAAAGAATTCAGGATTGATATATTCAAGTTAAACAAAAAAAGAGAATATATAATACAAACAAATAATAATAATACTAAAAACATTTATTTACTGTCACATATCACAATTTAACACACACCAAACAAAACAGGTCTGGTAAAAAATTACAGACATATAATTACGTAAAAGGGAATAACGTCTCAACTCAATATCCTGTTGTTTTCTGGTACACGTTTTTTTTTTCTCACCTTTCATTTTTAGTATTAACTCGGATGATTCGTCTGCTACAATTTGGAGTTAGATAAAGTTACAGTAACTCTTTACGCTTTTTCTTTTATTACTACAACAAAAAAAAACACACTCATACTAATATTAACCCTAACTCTCCTAATTTGCAGCAGTGGTGACATACACTACCGATTGCTTCAAATAAGTTTGAGGGTTACCCGTTTTGTTCATACGTTGGGTTCACTTTTTAATATCATGATATTTTAAAAACTGATTTATTCCTGAGGAAATGTAAAGATAAGTTATTTTTGACAGCCAGCCAGACCCGCCCCCCCCCCACACACACACAAAAAAAAGAGAGAAAAAAGTAAAAGACGCCGTGACATTTTTCATGAAAATTTTCAGGTGAGCACGTAAATGATTTATCATGGCTAAACTAAAAATAGTAATCAAAACGATCGTCACTTTCTGCTGATAAGGATTTTAATCTACAACTGAACAGATATGTTAGGGTGTTTGGAAAGTAATTACGTATTTCAGCGCTATGAACCAATGAACAAAGGTTGAATGTTAGTAAAATGCGTTTGGAATTAGTTTATTAACTTTTTCTATGCGACAGTATGTCGTTGAGTATTTTTAGAGATCATTCAATTAGGAAAACTTGCAAGAAGGAATCTGGTTTTCTCTTGAGAATTAAATGCAAAGTTTCACTATCTGCAGCATTATGCTAATCCCGATTGCCAAAATTTAATTTTTACATTAGGTTGTTACAGGCGATGAAAAATGTTTTTTGCATGTTAACTAAAAAAAAAAAAAAAAAAGACCGTTGTTATCACAAAATGATAACTCAGTACCAACACTAAAATCAGGAGTCCATCCACAGTGTCTGGTGGAGGTTGTGCATTACCAGCTATAAGTGATGGATCATAACTGCAGATGATTATTAACAGCAACTTACTTGAATATGATATCTTCTTCTTCTTCTTCTCGCGTGTCTTCAGGGCGAATGTGGCTTTCCACAATTTTCTATCCATATCTCGACAGCATTTGACGTTTTCTTCACAAGATGAACGGTTATGTTTTTTCTGAACGAATCTTTGAACTGATTCAGTCTTTCTTTTCAAATCCAGAAATTTGGTCACTCTTCTAGGCCTTTTTTGTATTCATGCAGATATTCCCCCAGGGATTTATCCTTGGCCCTATATTGTTCCTAATTTTTATAAATGACCCTCCTGAAGTCATCAGTTCTCAACTCTGTATCTATGCTGATGACACAGCTATTTATTCATGTCTTAATAGTAAATCTAAACGGTTTAGTAAGGTCAAATTGGCAGCTGATCCCCAAAATATCTGACAATCTGTTCTTTACTTGGGCAATTATTAACGTCTCCAAGGTGAAATCGTTCTCTTTTTAATCATCTGAGAGAACACATTTTACCCTCTATCAGCATGGCTGATGCTAACGTCCAAGAAAGTGACTCATTCTCGAACTAACGTTTTCCACTGCCATGAAGGGGAAATATTATATTCAATCAATTGCTCGGTCTTCTGCTAGGAAATTTGGTTCATTGTGTCGTACTAGACACATTTTTTTTTAGTCAGAATATATCTTGTAAATAATTCTACTATTCGTCCTTATTTTGAATATTGCTACGACATCTGGTTTGGTGTTCCTGCTATATATGTAGAGATTCTTGATAAAATCCAAACAGGAATCTGCAATGTCTTTGGTCTTGGTCTGGCATCTTGGCTTCAGTTATTTACCCACAGGCCCTAAATGTAGCTTCCCTGTGCCTTTTTCTATGAATGCTTTCATGGTAATTGTTCTTTTCTCTGTGGTATCTAGACTTTATGAATTTAAGCGCAGTACTAGATTGGCAACAAAGTCTCATCATTATACAATTGAAATAATTAGATGTAACTGTAGGTTCAATGCTAACACTTTCTTCTATCGCACTTCTCGAGTGTGGAACTCTCTCCTGGCTTCTTGCTTCCCAGTCAACTTTGATTATCAAAATGCAATGTCAGTTGTTACCTTTTTTCTTCTTAATTCTTGTTCTTTCTTGTTTTTCTCTAACACTCATTAATCCCTTGCGTCTTAATGGCTTTATTGCTTTGATTAGGATGGAATGGTTAAAAATTAAAAAAATAAATAATAAATCTTTAAAATAAAAGAAATTCTTCTCAGTATAATTGTCATTTGCAGATGTTAAAAAACCTTTTTTCCTTTCGTTAAGAAAAATTAAGTAAATTTAATGTCATAATATAAAGAGTGTTTAATAATAAGTGATTTTTTTTTTACAGCAAATGAAACGTTCTGCAAGATACGAGCATACGACCTTTGATGGAACCTAGCGGTCCGGTAATGTTGGATTTGAACTTTCAGCATTTTTTTTGTTTTGTTTTTTTTTTTTCATTTGTCTACCTTACACAAGTTGTATGATTTGTAAATATCTGATTCTTTTGTGGTGTCTGTCTCATTGTTAAAGAAACGAGTTGCGTGTATTGCGTCTGGAATTGTGCGAAGCCAGGAAGAAATCGATTTTCCCCCAAATAATGTATTTGTCAAGTAGTCAGAAAATTCTCTTGACTTCAGTCCTACCGAAAATTTGGGAATCATCATGAAGACGAGTGTTAACAATTTCCTCTTCAACTTGCCCGAAGAACAGCATCATTCTCGACAGCATTTGATGTGGTTGATGAGTGACGTTTTGAATAAATGCAATGGTACAGAAACGTCTTTCACGCGTTTCAGATAAATTTAGTATTTGTGAATTTCTCTGTTATTTCATGAATATATATCAATTGTTCAATATTTTCATGACGCTAATTTAATATTATTTGTAAAATGTCTTTTCCATTGAAACACCTTTCGGAAAAAACAGGCAGCAGGCGTAATAATAAGAGATGTTGACATATTATGTTGACATGTAAAGCAGTGGAATTGTACAAAACAGAACAACATTTACCTACGAACTAATTGAGTAATATAAAAATGAACGGACTATTTCTCTACTTCATTCAAAAACAATAGGTTTATTTTCAATTTTTTGTAGAGTTAAAAAGTAAGAGAAATGATTTTGGAAACCTTTTTCTGATAATAAATATACATTTTTGAGACAAACAGCTCTAGATAAAAATTCATCACTGGGGCTGCTTGATATTAATTTCACTCTTTAAAAACAGAAAAGAAACAAGGATGTCTACTCAAGCACGTGTATCCACTAAATACAACAATTATAACAAATAATATATATATAATATATATATATATATATATATATATATATATATATATATATATATATAACAGCGGATGTCTGTGTGTCTGTCTATCTGTCTGCCTTGTGTAATACTTTTTCACTCGAGATCCATACAACTGATTTTGACCAAACTTCGTACATACATTGTACAATGTAAGAGATATGTTCTTAGCGTAAAAAATCGATAATTTTAAAATATCAGTACTCGATATAGCCGATCAAAAATCGATAAATTCAACTTTTTTCCTCCGATTTCGTTCAAACTCGGTATGGTATCAACTTTCCACCATTCAACTTGGTTACACAAAGTTTCTTTACACACCGAAACATACTCCGCTCGCATCTGTGATTTCATCTTGTCATTGAGAGTCTTGTCCATCTGTACCACTCTCAGGTATTCATAGGCACTGTTGTGAATCTTAATAATAATAATAATAATAATAATAATAATAATAATAATAATAATTAGATACTGGATGCTTATACAACCACTGAGATCACGAACAGTATTTTATAAACAAACTAGATTATGAAAGTGGCTTAATGCTGCAATATGACACATTTGATCATTAACTTACATCATGACGAGCTCAATGATACCTCATTTTATTTCTACGAAACTGCTTTTAGCGAAAAACGAAAAATCGATTTCAACACAAATCTATTTCTACACAAATTTTAAACTAAAATCTCCTTCGATTTTCAAGCACTCATATACAAACTTCACTCAATTGTAGCCAACAAGTTGATTGTTTATGATATAATGGAATATGCATACACCTGCGTTCCCCCTCACTGGAATATGATTGGCTGGTGTCCGTCATAAATACAGACGGACGTGTAGGTACGACAGAGTTTAAGTCTATGACGACGCCCGTTGGACTACGCCAATGGCTATCCTATTTGTCTATACATATTACCTGCGACTACGACGAGTACCGGTCGATTACTGCTGCCGTGTACTACTTGGTTACAGTAGCCAAACCACTTAGCTACTTCGATCAAATATATCCATTTCCGGGACATATCCGTTTAACAGTAATTTAACTTGATAATTGAGTCCACCCATATAGTGAAAACCCCCATAAATAGCGAAAAATGGTGATTTTTACTGGTTTCTTTCTTATTTTTCGTTGATCTTTCAACTAATTTTCATCAAACCTAACAATTGCTTTATAAATTTATCCTCTTTTATATCCCAACTAGCACACCGACAAATTGAATTTCAAAAACTCTAAAATAATTGTGGTCTGAAATGGGT